GGAACATGGGTTATTTTTAGATCATATATCAATAGTGCACATCCATTTCTCCCCATTTGAGAAAAAGCTTCCTTTGGATGGGGCTGGAACTGCACCATGGGGTAGGGCTGTTTACTTAGCTGTCATTTGTTGAGGCTACCCGGGCATCACTTTAGTCTCTGGAGACTCTCTTACAGGTGGCATCATGGATGAGTCAGCTCTAGACCTGGTCCAAAGAGCTGCAGATCTCAGAGTCTGGACAAAACGTGAACAAGTGAAAGCTCTCAGTGCTCCTCTTAAGGATCTTGGAGGGCACCCCATTCTCCCAAATACATACACACACACCTTGCTCCAACCGCAGTGGGTCCTCTGTCTGAGTATCAGCATTCCCCATATGACTATTTTAGAAAAGTTTCTATAAACAAAACAAAAAAATTAAACACCATTGATTATGCCCAACTCTTCCATTGTAAGCCAAAGACGAGCTCAAGACCACACAGTGGACTGATGAAGGGACCCACCGCTTCCTCCTGCTACAGTATCCTTTCAGATCCCCATGCCGAGGAGTCAGCATCTTGACAGTTTAGAAGAAAGGTCAGGGCGGCCAGGCACGGTGGATCATGCCCGTAATCCCAGCATTTTGGGAGGCGAGGCGGGCGGATCACGAGGTCAGGAGTTCGAGACCAGCCTGGCAAACATGGTGAAACCCCGTCTCTATTAAAAATACAAAAATTAGCCAGGCGTGGTACTGCATGCCTGTAATCCCAGCTACTTAGGAGGCTGAGGCAGGAGAACTACTTGAACCCAGGAAGCAGAGGTTGCAGTGAGCCAAGATCATGCCACTGCACTCCAGCCTAGGTGACAAAGTGAGACTCTGTCTCAGAAAAAAAACGTCAGGGCTTCCTTGCTTCACTCTTGAGAGAAAGGAGTAGAGGAGAAGGAGGCCTCCATCTACAGGTCGTCTCCTCCAGGTGCACTGAAAGAAGCACGTTGACACCTCAGCAGAGACAGGAGTGGAGCATCTGGGATGTTCTCCTGCAATGATGTGGGCTGACAAACAGGAGGACAATGGCATGTGAGGAAGGCTGGCTGTGGGAGCGCGCTGTCTGACCGCTCCTGTCCCCCTCTCTGCACGAGGCCCCCCTCTCCATGAAGGCTGGCTGTGGGAGCACGCTGTCTGACCGCTCCTGTCCCCCCTCTCTGCACGCTGCACTGCAGTGTCCCCAGCTGGTTCCATCTAACCTATTGCTTTTGTTCCATCAGTCACAATTGATGACGCTGGGTTTTGTAGGGATCCCCTTCTTTTTTTTTGTTTTTGAGACAGAGTCTTGCTCTGTTGCCAGGCGCCAGGCTGGAGTGCAATGGTGCGATCTCAGTTCACTGCAACCTCTGCCTCCCGGGTTCAAGCAGTTCTCCTGCCTCAGCCTCCCGAATAGCTGGGACTACAGGCGCACACCACCACGCCCAGCTAATTTTTGTGTTTTTTTTAGTACAGACGGGATTTCACCATGTTGGCCAGGATGGTCTCGATCTCTTGACTTCGTGATCCGCCTGCCTCAGCCTCCCAAAGTGCTGGGATCACAGGCGTGAGCCACCGCAGCCGTCCGGATCACCTTCTTAAAAAGCTCCAACTTCAAGCCTTCACAGCAAATACCTTCCCAGCACTTCATGGGGACTCAACTGACTCCAAGAATAAAACATAAATCTGGTAGCTCAAGGAACTGGAGGGATCCAGTTTAGATATTCGTCCCCTCCAAACCTCTCCCCAATGTTGGAGATGGGGCCTAGTGGCGGGCGTTTGGCTCACGGGGACGGATGCCTCATGAACGCCTTGGCACATTCCCTGTGACAATAAGAGTTCTCACTCTACTAGTTCATGCGAGAGCTGGCATCTCTCTGGTCCCCTCCTCTCCGTGTGACAGGCCCGCTCCCCTGTGCCTTCCGCTATGATTGGAACCTTCCTGAGGCCCTCAGCAGAAGCAGATTAGACCACGCTTCTCTTACAGTCTGCAGAACCACGTGCCAAATAAACCTCTTTATCAGTTACCCAGTCTCAGGTATTCCTTTACAGCAGCAGAAAACAAGTTAACACGGGGGTGGGGAGGCACCCCGCTTCTCCAGTCAGTCCCCTCCTCATCTGTCCACCCATTCGTCCACACCTCTGACCCTCTTCCCTTGGGCATGACTGATTTCATCAGGAGTGGACAGCAATGAGCTTGCTTCCCAGGGGATGTGGAATTGAACCACGCTGATCCCTCCATGTGATCACTGTCAAATGGGCAGCTCTTTGACAGCGATCATTTTCATATGGACAGAGAAAGCGAAGAAACAGCTTTCTTAGATTCTCCACGTCCCTCTCAGTCGTGGCCCAGCTGCACCTCTGGCCTTGGATTTCATGAGACCCACCCTCTGCCCACCCCCATGGGAGTCTCCCTGACACGTTTCCCATTTTACTTCTCAGAACTCTCCTGGACTTCTGTCCCTTGCAACCAGTATGGCTCCAGGAGATGCAAGTGATCTGGAGACGGAAGGCGGGCCAGGCCACGGAGGCTCCCCTGTGCTTTCCAGCTTCGCCTGCGCCCACGCTGTGCACACGCGCTGGGGCCACCGCAGCTGGGAAGCGCTGGCGGCCCTTTGAGCGTGCTTTGGGGTCGGAGGAGGCCCCGGCTGCTCCTGTTTTTGCTAAGGTGCCAACATGCTTCTCTCAGTGCATCTGGAGGAGACGACCTGTAGATGGGAACCTCATCCTCTACTCCTTACTCTCAAGGGTCTCAACGCCCAGACGGTGCTTCATCTGAAGGCGCTTCCCAGCCAAAGCACTGATGGACAGAAGGCGACGTGGGGAGGCTGAGACAACATTACCGCTGAGCCGGGTGGGGAGCACGTTCCGAGGGCGGTGTTCCCGCGGCCCTCAGGCTCCGACTCCCGGAGCAGAGGCCCTGACAGCACATCTCCCTCCTTCGGCCCCACCCAACCCCCTGCTTTTCAGCTCTCTCTTTCTCTTGCCCCACTGCAGAG